GACAAGAAGGTTGAAATATGGAGCTGAGGTCCCTCCAGCTCCTAGAAGCAGCCCCCATTCTGGGCTGCAAGATGTATGTGGTGTCAGGACAGTGGCTGGGGTGTCCCACGGGGGGGGATGCCTTGGTGTGGCGGTTCTAGACGTGTGCCCTCAAACAGGAGCAATCAGCTGGAGTTGGGTGTGCGGGTGCTGGCAGACAGCCCCCGTGGCACGAGGCCAATGGGAGGGGCCGTGGGAACCACAGTGGGGACATCTGGTGGGCTCCAGGGGGTTGGGCAGAGAGAAGGGGTGGGCTGGGGGCCTGGAGGGAAGCATGTGGTGGGGGATCTGCGCTCACCTGCTGCCAGACTCCGGTAACAGTGCCTCGCCTTCCGCTGCATCTCCATGTGGTGTCCCTGGGACAGTCAGAGGCTGGCTCCTCACCCGGGATTCGGGGCCCAGCGGGGGTCAGCAGTCATCTACACGGCACCCTCCATTCCCTGCTCACTTCACTCCCTCCTTCGCAGGCTCAGTATCCAGGAAGGAAGGTGCTGTGCTGGGCTGGGAGCTCAGGTGGCAGGGTCCCTGCCCTGGAGCTGGCTGCGCAGCCTGAGGCCTCCCCGGGGCGCAAGGTCCTTAGGAGGAAACCTTCTGGGAGGTGGTGGGACCCTGGGCTGGGGCAGGAGTGAGTGGGGTGGTCAGGCCTTGGGTGTGCTGCGCCCCTGGAGCTAGAGGACCTGAACAGGAATTGACTGGAACAGATCATGGCTCAAAGCTTGCTGGGGTGTGGAGGCCACAGAGAGCCCCCGACTCCCTCCAGCATCAGGCCTCCTTTGCAGTTGGGGGGCAGGAAGTCCTCCCCCCACCCCTGCTAGCTGAGCCCAGGCATTCTTCCACCACCTCTGCCCTTTGGACTTGTTTAACAGGGGCTCTGTAGGAAGATGGGTGCTTCCCCGTAGGTTCTGGGTTATCCTGGCCCTGGGCAGGGCCCTTCCTGGCCCGTCCTTTTAGTCCCTTTTAGCCTTTCCAGCCGTTTTTTGTCCGCCCAGCACAAGTGGGCAGTGCACAGGCCCCTCGGTGGTGGGGCAGGAGCCCCAGGCCTCCTCTGAGCGCCATACCCCCAGGTGACCCCTCCTAAGTCGGGGAGGTCGGGAGGGCTGAAAAATCACCTCAACTGGTTGGCCATATTGCGAGGCTGGGGAGTGGTCGGCAGCTGGGAAGCCCCTGTCCCCAAACATGCAGTGCTGAGGCTCGGCTAAGGGGCTCGTCTGCCATTACATGAAGCACCACCCCAAGCCCTGCCTCAGGACAGGCTCAGCGACCACCCTCCGGAGGAGGCCCCCGCCTCTGAATCAGAGGGGCCACGCCCCTTATTCCCACACACGGAAGGGGCCGCGCCCCAGGCCAAGTGGCTGCCTGTGCCGCCGGGGGGCCTGGGCACCGTCACCCTGACAGTTTGTCTTTTAAAAAATTCCTAGCCGCTAGGCCAGGGCACAGTTTTTGTCCACATAGAAATTAGGAAACAAAAGATACTCATTGTAAGATAAATTCTAACCGAAATGAGCGGGCGAGGAGAGGCAACAAAAGGCCAGGCAGTTTATTTGAGTGCAATTCCGGGCGAGGTTCACTTGTCTGCACAAACAGGTGCCTCAGAAGTCACACCCAACCAGACAGGAGGGGAGTTTTTATAAGCACAGGGAAGGGTGGGGGAAGTGGGCCGTGCCAGGGGTATGTGGGGAATTTTTATTGGCTCAGGGTCGGGTGATGGACAGCTAGAGGTCACCTCCTTCCGGGTGGAGGGGTTCTGCATCCGGGGTTTGTCGCCACCTCACGGAACTGGAATGCAGGAAGAGCTGTCCGTTCCTTCCTTAATATGGCACAGAGCTATTTGGTGCCGTCTTTGTTCCACTTGCAGTGTCCTCGCTTTCCTCCCTCGGGTACATCCAGCCTTACACTCATCTTTCTAATACCCTTCATACCCCGAAGGCGGGGCCTGCGGTTTGGATCTTCAGGAGTGAATCAGGCATTCAAGTACCTTTTGCCTCAGTGGAACCAGCAGGCCCCCAAGGCACACTTCCGGCCTGGACTTGGTTCCTGGCCCCGCCAACCAGACCCGGCCCTGGGCCGAGTGCCTCCTCAGCCGGACCCCAGCAGCCTTCGGGTGCGCCCCGCCATGCCCCCCACCCCTTCGCTCCTCCCCTCCGTCCCTTCTACCCCCTCTCCCCTCCCTACCCCCC